GTTTTCTTAATACCTCTTCCAGATAGTTCATTATTGGAATGCAGATTAATTTTGTATCCTGCAACTTTGCTGAATTTGTGTATTAGTTACAACATAGACTAATATCTTGGGGGCATGTCTCCTACTACTAAGCCAGATGATCTGATTTTCTTTTCACTTTCTCCTTTTGTGTACTCAAAAAGTGTATATTTTAACTGTGACAGGAAGTCTCTGTGTTGTTTATTTTCGGATGAATAATTTCTAGAGCTTAAACAAATTAAAAGTTTCTTCTCTCGCATTTTATTGGCATTTTATGGCCTATTAAAAGTATATCTGTCAAAGTTATAGATAATAGGAGTTATCTTATTCCTTCTATGAATTGATTGAACTAGTAAAAGCTGTGGTGGCTACCATCCAATTTTTAAAATAAAAAAAATACTGAATAATTCTTACAGTACACAAAATTATGTGCAGACACATTTTCCACTGGCAATGATGGTAAACAGATATTTAATTTTGCTATATTTTCTATAGCTCTTTCCAAACATTACAGACAAAACTAAAGAGTAACTCCTAGTACTTTTCCTATTTTTAAAGTAATAACTACTATTGGGAAGATTCCATGTATGTCTTTTCAATTTTACTGTTATAGCTAAGTATCACAAAACAATATATTATATTGTGATTATATTCTGAAATTTCTCACAAGTAGTGTCATGCAGCATATATCATTCTGATGCTTTTTATATTCAGCATTTTATTTTTGTAATATTTAGCTAAGAAAAGAATATACAGAACTGTTTCTTTGCTTGTAATAGTTCATTGTATTTTGACTTCATATGTAATTCATTGTTCGTTCATTCTGTACTTGAATGGTTATACTTCTGCTTACAGGGCTGGTGTGACTATCCTTGTAAATACTTCCTTGTTCAAATGTTGGAATTACTTGAATGTAGATAACAGGAAGTGGAATTGCTTGACTTTTAAATATATACATTGTCTTCTTTATTAAATAGTTCAGGCAATTTTTCTCTGAAGTTGTTAAATAAATGTTCTCCATGTGGTTGCTTTTCTCCATCTGGAGAAGTTTAGTAGTCTTCCTCTCCCTATATTTGGGTCAAAACTTAATGCTACCAGACTTTCACATTTCTGGTTATCTGACAGAAATGAGATAGTAATTTACTTTAATTTAATTTCCTCTGATTACTGCAGAAGTTGATGTTTTATATGTTCACATGTCTATTTCCTCTTCTTTAAATTGCCTTTATGCAAATTATCTTTATTATCTCTTTTCATTCTGAATGTTTTTCTTATTTATTTGTAGAAACCCCTTATATAAACTTAACTTCTAATATTTTCTTGGTTACATGGTTTACTATATATCCTACTATGCATTCAATTTTTAATTATGTAGTGGGGCACATTTACAGGTTAAAAACTTCCCATCTATTAGGAATTCTCTATAAATTTATATTTCTAATTGTCAAATTACTTTAATGATTATATATTTATTTAGCTTTTCTATTTCTTCTTTAACTATTTTTGGTAATATATATATATTTTAGAGCATCTATCAGAACACTGAAATATGTGGCCAAGTCTTCTTCTTGTGTCAAGGATTTCTTCAGATAGTAAATCTCTGCCCATGTTGAGGTCCCCTACGAAACCTTCTCTGTTCCATATGGAGGCGTGTCTCACGAGGGTCTGGAAGCCTTGGTCTGGGTGCTGGACACCCCAGGAGGAAGCAGGGCTCTCGAAATACTCATGATAGGGCCTCACCTGTCCTGGGATCCCTTCAAAGGCAGAAACTGGCCTTCAGGCCAAGTCACTGCATGGGGCTGTCTCTCCTCCCGTAAGATCAACATTAGATCAAGGAGATTGCTTCACACTGAAGAGAAGATGTCTCTAAATGGATTCTAAACCTGATAATTATTCTGTATCTTTAACAACACTTGATATAGTTGTCTTTTTATTTTTAGCCAAAATAATGGGTGTATGCTGCTGCTGCTATGTTGCTTCAGTCGTGTCCAACTCTGTGCGACCCCATAGATGGCAGCCCACCAGGCTTCTCCGTCCACAGGATTCTCTAGGCAAGGATACTGGAGTGGGTTGCCATTAATGGGTGTATAGAGATCTCACTGTGACATTAACTTGCATTTCCGTGATGACTAATGATGTAGAAGAGGGGATTACAAACTTCTTCAATAAAGGGTAGAATAGTAAATATTTTTGTCTTTGTAGGCCATTCATTCTGATGCAACTACTGAACTCTGCCATTGTTTCATGAAATAATTTATGATAATACATAAATAAACAAGCTTTCTTATGTTCCAACAAAATTTATTTACAAAGTAAATGGCTGGATGGACTGGTTCATGGGCCATATTTTGTTGATTCCTGATGTAGAGGACTCTATGGCTTCACAGGGTAATTCTCCAAACATTTAAAGAATAGTTAGGTCCCATTCCTCTCAAATTTTTCCATAAAATTGAAGGTGAGGAAATATTACCAAACTCATTCAATGAAGCCTTCATTACCCTGATGTCAAAACTAGACAACAAAACTACAAAAAAAAAAAGTCAATTTTCTGAATGAACATAGATTAAAAAATTCTCAACAAAATATTAGCAAACTTCAATTCAGTCAGTTCAGCTGCTCAATCATGCCCGACTCTTTGTGACCCCATGGACTGAAGCATGCCAGACTTCCCTGTCCATAACCAACTCCTGGAGCTTGCTCAAACTCATTTCCATCAAGTAAGTGATGCCATCCAATGATCTCATCCTCTGTTGTCCCCTTCTCTTCCTGCCCTCAATCTTTCCAAGCTTCAGGGTCTTTTCCAATGAATCAGTTCTTTGCATCCGGTGGCCCAAGTATTGGAGTTTCAGCTTCAGCATTAGTCCTTCCAATGAATATTCAAGACTAATTTCCTTTAGGACTGAATTAAGTTAGAAAACTTAATTCAACAATTTATGAAAGAATCATATATCATGGCCAAGTGGGATATAGTCTAGGTGTACAAGGATGGTTCAATATTTGCAAATCAACCAACATGATATACATTAATAGCATGAAAGATAAAAACTTATATAATTATCTCAACAGACAAAGAAAAAGCATTTGACAAAATTCAGCATACATTCATGTTAAAAACTCTTAATAAATTTGGTATAATCGGAACACATTGCAAAATAATAAAGGCCATTTACAGCAAACACACAATTAATATCATACTTGATGGTAAAACCTGAAATCTTTTCTCTAAGATGAGGAAAAAGACAAGGATGTCTACTCTCACCATTTCCATTTAACATAGTATTTGAAGTCCTTGTCATAGAAGTCATATAGGAAAAAGAAATAGAAAGCATCCAAATTGGAATAAAACTATTAAAATGTAAAAAGACAGCCTATCAAACAGAAAGAGACACTTGCAAACCATTAGTCAATAAGGGGTTAATTTTATATATATATATATATATATGTACATATATATATAAAGAAATTTATATGCAATATCAAAACTATAAATAATCTGATTTTAAAAAGGCAGAGGACCTAAATAGACATTTTCCCAAAGAAACAAAGAGATGGGCAACAGACACATGAAAAGACGTTCAACATCTCTAATCATTAGGTAAATGCAAATCAAACCCCAATGAGATCTCACCTCACCCCAATCAGAACACTATCATCAAAAAGCCAAGAAGTAATGAGTATTGCTGAGGATGTGAAGAAAAGGGACCCTTTGGGCACCCTTGCTGGGAAAGTAAACTGGTGCAGCCACTATTTAAAACAGCATAAAGGTTCTTCAAAAATTAAAAAAATAAATACTATATCATTCAGCAATTCCATTCCTGGATATCTATCAGAAGTAAAAAAAACACTAATTTGAAAATATATATGCACCTTAATATTCACAGCAGCATTATTTCTAATAGCCAAGATATAGAAGCAATCAGTATGCATATATATATATATATATATATATATACACAATGAAATATTACTTAACCATAAAAAGGATAAAATCTCATCACATGAGACAACATGAAAAACCTGGAGGGTATTATACTTAGCAAAATAAGTCAGACAGAGAAAGACAAATACTATATGTTTTCACTTATATATGGATTCTAAATTGCAAAACTAACAGAACAGAAACAGACTCAGAGATATAGGGAATAAACTTCTGGCTACTAGAGGGGAAAGGGGTGGGTGTAGGAGTGAAATAGGTGAAGGGGACTAAGAGGTACAAAAATTATGTGTATTTTCCCATGCTTATAAATAAAATTATGTAACGTGCAGTTAGGAAAGGAATCGACCCTGCCAATACCTTAACTGTAGCCAGTGAAACCGATTTCAGACTTCTTGCATCCAGAATTGAAAGAGGATAAATTTATTTTAATTAAACGACCAAGTTTATATTAACCATTGAGCATATAAGTATTTTTCGTTTGCTGTGCTGCAGTAGTAGGATGAGATGTATCTGCAATTGTCTGTTGGGACACATCATGGTGAGGCATGTTTGGATGGACATTCTTGAGACAGCCAACTTAGCTGAATAACATCTTCTTGGAGTCACTTTTCTCTTCTTTTAGTTCCTTTCACTTCTTACCATTTTGGAGTAGAGCATACTGTAGCTAAATATTTATTTCGATAAGGCTTCCCTCATAGGTCAATTGGTAAAGAATCCGCCTGTAATGCAGGAGACCTCGGTTCCATTCGTGGGTCGGCAAGATCCGCTGGAGAAGGGATAGGCTACCCACTCCAGTATTCTTGGGCTTCCCTTGTGGTTCAGCTGGTAATAAAGATCCCCTGGAGAAGGGAAAGGTTACCCACTTCAGGATTCTGGCCTGGAGAACTCAATGGGCTGTATAGTCCACGGGGTCTCAAAGAGTCGACCCGACTGAGCGCCTTTCACTTTCACTTTCTTATCTATTAATAGATACTCTCCGAGCTACAAGTTTGAGACTCTAGTACAAAAGAAGATACAGATTGAGAGGAAGATAAAGACCAAAGTCTCAAATCTGGAAGGCCAGTAAGAAGCACTGCAAACGCCCCGTGGGGCCCATGGTGTGACTGAGGCTGGAGGAGGCGCTGAGCCCCTGGAGGGTTCGTGTAGAGGCTGCAGGTGCCTGGGGAGCACGGTGCTGCGCAGCACAGAAGTGCCCGCGTCTGTGGTCCGCGGAGAGGAAATGTGCAGTGAGCTGCGGCGTTCTGCAGGGACTGTGGTGGCCTTTAATCTTCCTTCCTGCTTTGTCCCTGAAGGAATGTAAATTAGGTGGATGAGGTGGCCCCCAGGGCTCTGAAGGTACCACTGCACACTCTCTGCGAAGGTGGAGAAATTACACCACAGCGTAGAGCTGGCTCCCTCCTGTGGAGTCAGGGCTGGGGGACTCTGCGCCACGTCCAACCCTCTCACACCTGATGAGAAAGAGACAAATCGTCATAGGTGAGGCTCACTGTAACTCTGAATAAACCCCGAACGTGTCCCTCCAGCTCCCACAGACAGGATAGGAAGTGTGCAGGACTTGTCAACCCTCTCTACTCCCTCCCTCAGCAATACAGCAGCTGCTCATTTCTTCAGATTCCCCTGCAGGGTCGCCCCAACTCACAGCAAACCTGGGCAAACAAAAGCCCCAGCACAGTGCCCACTAGCCTCTTCATGATGCCTTGACTTGCTGCTTAGAAATTTTCACCTTAAAATACACAGCTAAACCCATAAGTGGTGTGTCATTTCTTGTCTGGAAATTTCCTGCTCCTGCAACCAATCAGCTCCCCCAGCAAACCCTGCTCAGGTGACACTTTGTGACAGGAAGCCGGCCTAACACGTCAGCTCCCCTGAGAACATGGAACTGGGGAAAACAAATCTTTCCTTTGCAAATTTAAAAAGAAAAGAAAAGAAAAAATCTAAGATGCCCATAGGAATGAAACACTTGCAATTCTCTATATTCTCTGTACTGTTTGCCTTCACACAACATGTCAACTTCTTGAAAATGACACAGGCTGAAGCTGTAAGTCCTTTAAGCTCCCAGATCTCAGGGGTTTGCAGATAGCTCCCCCTAGAGTCCGAGTCACCATGTCATTCAGAACATAGAGGTACTTGGTCACATTACTTCAGTGGGCTTTTTCCTCAGGTGAAAGGAAGTCTCACTCTTCCTAAATTCAGATGCAAAAGCTTTGATGGCTGAAACAAGGTTGTTTCCAGACATGTACTTCAGGAGAAGCTGGAATCCTTTGTTGGGATACTGTACACATCAGCAGAGATTTGGTTGAAGGGAAAATGAATAGTTGCGCCTCAGCTCCAGAGGGGCTCCTTCAGACAGTGATGTGGCCATCGGGCTGGGTCACTGTCTGGGCTTCTGAAACTTTTCTACTGAATCAGTGAACTCAGCTAAACAAAAGTCTCTGTTCAAAGTCAAACTAGAACAATGTTCCATGTGTGGACAAGAGAGTAAAATGGGACAGTACTCCCTCAGCAGCAGGAGTGCCTCAAGCATCAAGGTGAACACCAAGGTCTTGGTGGAGCAGTGGAGAGGCAGTGAGCTGCTTTCTGGGTGATTCCCCACAGACAGAAATCTCATGACTGGGGGACTTGAATCCAAGTTGCTCTGAGGTTGAGGAGCAATGACAGGTGATAGAGATTTCTTCTTCTGATGGAGACTGTAGAGGGGCCTAAGAAGAGAGGCTGTCTTAAAACTTCCTATCTCTAGTGTCTGAGATGCTTTACACGTCATTGTGTAAAAAATGTTGTCAGGATATCTCTTTAAATTGTAAGGAAGGAAGGGTTTTTTGGAGCTTATTCTGATCCTTTCCAGTTTTCACAACAGTGCCCTCCAGGGGTCAGATAGAGAAATAGAAGTTCACAATTTTTGTTCACCCCCTTGCTGGCTTTGTATGGTTGAATTTTAAAGCATTATAATTATGTAAGGAGGAGAATTTATGTTTTGTAGACTCTGAAACTTACAAAATTGCAATTTCTAAAACAACACAAAATTATGGATAAAAATTAAATACAAAATAATGTTTAGAATGAGAAATAAAATCATAGCAAATTATAAATTTTAGAAATCAAATTTCACAGACAGCATAAATCTAGAAAATTGAGTCATATTTTAGTACTTATTTCCATGACACACTGCCATAATACTTTTTGTTTCTATGCTTTTTGTCTTCATACTTTCTACTTTTTTCTTCATATGACAATAAATTTGTAAAAACTTCCAATACAGAGAAAAGAAAGATAATCACTGATTGAAATTTGCTTTCTTAAAAAATGCAAAGTGCGTTTTGATAATGGATGAAAATTTATAGGATTATGGTCAAAATTTGGAAACTGTCTATCACAGTACTATGTGCTACAAGGTTTCATTACATTCCAAATTTTCTTATGTCATAACAAATCCTAAATATTATCGACTGTTCACACCAATTAATGAATTTATTGCCTATGTTAGTTTCCTATTGATGTGTGACAAATTACCAAGAACTTTTGTGATGGAACAACATCTGTTTATATCACAGGTTCTGTAAGTCAGAAATCAGCACACAGTTAAGCTGAATCTCACAAGGTTGCAGTCAAGGAGTCAGCTAAAACTGTCTGGGGCATGGGGTCCTCTTCCAAACTCAGTGGTTGCTGGTAGAATTCATTTTCTTGTAGCTGTAGCACTCATGGCAACTTGTTTCCTCAAGACAAGGAGGATGTCTCTGATCTCAGGAATTGTTTGAGCTCTTTTTGAAAGAGCTCACCTGATTAAATTAAGCCCACCTAGGACAATCTCCTTTTGATTCATTCAAGGTCATACTGATTAGAGACTTTAATCCCACCTGCAAATTTCATGTGTGTGTGTGTGTGTGTGTGTGTGTGTGTGCTCAGTCCCTCAGGCTCTTTGCAACCCCATGGACTGTAGCCCACCAAGCTCCCCTGTCCCTGGGATTCTCCAGGCAAGAATACTGGAATGGGTTGCCATTTCCTCCTCCAAGGGATCTTTCCAATCCTGGGATCAAACCTGCATCTCTTGCATCAGCAGGCAGATTCTTCACCACTGCACTACCTGGGGGACCTTAGAATCATCTACCTACCATAGTTGTTAATGCCCTCATTGACCTGGCACACTATGAGTTTCACTTTATTCTCATAAATGTAGAAAATTGTGACCAGTCAGCAAGAAGTTAATATGAACAACTATAAAATGATTGGACAAGGCCATTTTCATACCAAAGGAAGAACATAAGCAAACTCATTTTCCAACGTATAGAGTGGAATGCACAGATATTCCACAGAGTGGAATGCAACAGTGTGCAAAGAAATGATAAAAACATATTGGAACCAGTTAGGGAGCTGTTGCATGCTTTCAAACACTGAAAGTTCTGGTAATAGACTATCATGCCTTTTTTAAACAAAGACTTGTTAATGAATCATTACCAAAGGAACAGCAGTACAGTGTAATGAAAGGTAATTAGCATTAGTGTCAAACAGATTTTTGTTTAAATCTGTCTCTGATGCTTAGCCTGTGAGATCTTGATGACAAACACTTATATACTGAAGTGACTGTGAGCTGCATAAATAAATTCCACTAGGTCAAAATTATATGCATTCTTAATTCAAATTCACTCTTGCAGATGCTAAATAAGCCTGTGGCTCACTCCGTCACCACCTGACAGACTAGAATTATAGTAGAGTGGAAATTGGGGTTTAACTGGCAAGGATCTTAACTCGTTAAGATATCTTATTTTTTGAAACATTTATAAAACATGGCTAGGGCCCTACACATCTTGGAAATGTCGTGTTTAAGTAAGGGGCACCGAAGCTTAAGCTTTATTGTAAAATGAAATACTAAAAGTGTTAGTTGCTCAGTGGTGTTTGACTCTCTGTGACCCCATGACCTGTAGCCTGCCAGGCTTCTCTCTCCATGGGATTCTGCAAGCAAGAATACTGGAGTGGGTTGCCATTCCCTCCTCAAGGTATCTTCCTGACCCAGGGATTGAACCCAGGTCTCCTGCATTGTAGGCAGATTCTTTACTGTCTGAGCTTTATAAGAAATATCTTATTTAATACAACATTTTCTTGGGTTACTCATTTTTACCCTCCATTTTACAAATGGTAAACCTAGCTTCAAAGAATTTAAATTACATAGGATTCCAGTATTTTTAAGTGGCAGGGTAGCAATTAGAATCTAGATCTAACTCCAGAGACCAGTCTTTTTTTTTTTTTTTCCTTTTATTTTTATTAGTTGGAGGCTAATTACTTTACATCATTGCAGTGGTTTTTGCCATACATTGAAATGAATTAGCCATGGATTTACATGTATTCCCCATCCCGGTCCCCCCTCCCACCTCCCTCTCCACCCGATCCCTCTGGGTCGTCCCAGTGCACCAGGCCTGAGCACTTGTCTCATGCACCCAACCTGGGCTGGTGATCTGTTTGACCCTAGATAATAAACATGTTTTGATGCTGTTCTCTTGAAACATCCCACCCTCGCCTTCTCCCAGAGTCCACAAGTCTGTTCTATACATCTGAGTCTCTTTTTCTGTTTTGCATATAGGCTTATCGTTACCATCTTTCTAAATTCCATATATATGTGTTAGTATACTGTAATGGTCTTTATCTTTCTGGCTTACTTCGCTCTGTATAATGGGCTCCATTATTTCATCCATCTCATTAGAACTGATTCAAATGAGTTCTTTTTAATGGCTGAGTAATATTCCATGGTGTATATGTACCACAGCTTCCTCATCCATTCGTCTGCTGATGGGCATCTAGGTTGCTTCCATGTCCTGGCTATTATAAACAGTGCTGCAATGAACATTGGGGTGCACGTGTCTCTTTCAGATCTGGTTTTCTCGGTGTGTATGCCCAGAAGTGGGATTGCTGGGTCATATGGCAGTTCTATTGCCAGCTTTTTAAGAAATCTCCACACTGTTTTCCATAGTGGCTGTACTAATTTGCATTCCCACCAACAGTGTAAGAGGGTTCCCTTTTCTCCACACCCTCTCCAGAATTTATTGCTTGTAGACTTTTGGATGGCAGCCATCCTGACTGGCGTGTAATGGTACCTCATTGTGGTTTTGATTTGCATTTCTCTGATAATGAGTGATGTTGAGCATATTTTCATGTGTTTTTTTGCCATATGTATGTCTTCCTTGGAGAAATGTCTGTTTAGTTCTTTGGCCCATTTTTTGATTGGGTCATTTATTTTTCTGGAGTTGAGCTGGAGGAGTTGCTTGTATATTTTTGAGATTAATCCTTTGTCTGCTGCTTCATTTGCTATTATTTTCTCCCAATCTGAGGGCTGTCTTTTCACCTTGCTTATAGTTTCCTTTGTTGTGCAAAAGCTTTTAAGTTTCATTAGGTCCCATTTGTTTATTTTTGCTTTTGTTTCTAAAATTCTGGGATGTGGGTCATAGAGGATCCTGCTGTGATTTATGTCGGAGAGTGTTTTCCCTATGTTCTCCTCTAGGAGTTTTATAGTTTCTGGTCTTACATTTAGATCTTTAATCCATTTTGAGGTTATTTTTGTGTATGGTGTTAGAAAGTGTTCTATTTTCATTCTTTTACAGGTGGTTGACCAGTTTTCCCAGCACCACTTGTTAAAGAGGTTGTCTTTTTTCCATTGTATATCCTTGCCTCCTTTGTCGAAGATAAGGTGACCATAGGTTCGTGGATT